TTCATGGGTGTTAAAGAGGAAAATACTGTTTCGATATAGTGTGACACTATGCGTTTTTTAATAAATAACTCAGGACATTACCTTAAATGTTTTATTGAGTCGTTCTTTCTAGCAGCCTGGTTGGTCGTGCGATTGCCAGTGAGGGACTTCTAAATAATACTCAGCTCATACAGAATGTTGTTGTGGGTTGTAGTTAAAATGTATATGTTTTGATCTGCTCTTAGCGCGACATACGAAAATTATTTTTGGTTTAATTTTAGCTTACAGAACAAACGTACTTTAGTCACTAAAACGACTTTTCATTAAACTTTTCACCCTGTAACATATTTCAATAGATCTTAGAGATTATATTTCCAGAAGACGTGCATATCACCATGAAAGTCTAGTGCTCATACAGGACGTCCAGGTACTTGCTGTTATTCAGTGAACTCCCAGTTTTCAGTGACTTCCCACAAGGCTTCTGTTAGGGGTTGTTACAACCAATTAACCGACAAAGCTGATGTATTCATCCACTGCGAATCTTATCTGCATCCGATTGGGACACAATTCACGATAACTCAACTGTCCTGAGTTCTGTTGGTACACAGTCTTCCGGAAAACAACGAAATCAGGTGGCGTATCTTCGCTTAAAACCGAACCTGGTTAGCGCAAGCATTTTGAAGCCTGCCCTCTCTTCTGTATAAAAAAATAGAGAGCATTCAGCAGATTTCTTTGTTTTTTTATTAACACATGGCGTTTCGGCAAGGATAAAAAATAATTAACAAAAAACTGTCCTACATATTTTTAATGAAATGTCAAGTATAATTCGGATATTCACATTTTTAGAGCAAGCATGTTTTGATTCAGGCTTCTTTTGACTTACCCGCTTGAATTTTTATAATTCCTTCTGTATATATGCGTGTGCCACAATAGATGTGCTTACGTTATTAATACCTTGAATGGAAGAAGACGGCCAGTAGCATCCTGAGGCGCTAAAATTTGGTTTCCACAGCCTTGCTACGTCCCCATCTTTCATATTTTGCCAGTCTTTAAACTCAATGATAAAATCACACAGTGTCCAGCCGCATAGGTGAGATAGTCCTCTCGGAGAGCAAACTGTAGGTCATTTTATTGTCGGCATGGCCTAACCAGATCTTAGATGTGGGCTACTAGAGTAGTAAACCCAATTACGTCAGATTCTTTTTTTTTCCAAAGTGGTCGATGGCATGCACATGAACTTCTATTAAATTCAAACCAGGCAACGTCTTAGATTCAGTGCACTCATCCATATCTAGTAAAACATTAATGTTTGCTAACTCACTCTCGATGGTAAAAACATTTACACAACTTAGAGACACAACGTGGAATCAGGCATGAAAATAACGTCTACTCGTAAAGATGTTTTAAAGAGCCTTCGCGCATGTCGATTGGCAAATGAACAGTTTGAACTAAATGGTTATTTATTCCCCGCTATTTGGCCTCTCACTGAAGCGTTCATTGAGCGCTTGAACGTTCGATTCCGGTTGGCATCGAGATTTTTCCACGAAATCCGTATCGTCGTTAGTCTTCTTACAGGAATAACAGAGCCGCCTTGGCACGTGTAGAAGGTACTGTCTGCAGGGTAGGTGACTTATGAAAACGTAGGAAAGGCACAATGCTGTAAATAGCTGCATGAATATGAATCTCCGTAAATTCCCACATCATGCACTTGATACAAAATTGAAATGTGAAGACTTACTTGATGAAATATTCAACGAAGTTTTATAGGCGAAAACATTTGCGAAATCCATTTGCGATTCATTCACGGACCACTTCGATTCTTCAATCGATGCTCTCGCAGACTGACAGCTTAGACAATTCAGTTACGACATAACGCCGCCCCCCATAAAATCCGCACCAACGATGTTACTTCATCTGTTAAAAACAGAAATCCAATGCTCCGTAGGCGCAAAGAAATAGTTGCCGCATGATTACAGAAAACCAGTGTACACCGAGCGTGCACATTTCATTCTCCTAAAAGGTAAAGAGACACGCAGTGTTCTGTTAGTATAACTTTCGACTTGTGGAAACCGCTCAAGTTTCTGAGTGAAAAAAAAACTTCTGGTTTGAGCACATGCGACATTATTTAGTTTTTGCCTATCGAACGAGTAGTCCTGATGGTACAGTCAACCGGAAAGCATGTCGTTCATCAGGGGGCAAGTTAACATTCATCTATCCTCACTTGCAGCACACCGAGTGGTAAAAGTCGATGGCTAATTACTGCCGATTTCAAAGTGTGTCATCTTATTGTCCAAATGTATTTTGATGTAAAAGTAATCGCATTATCAGTCGCAGCATTTTACGTCGTTTTAAAACTGCCGCGCGATATTGCTTCCCTTACAGACTTTGAACGGACACGTCTTCGTGTGCCCCACTAAACTGCCCTCTAATCCTCACCAAAGTTCTGATTATTCCGTAAATTAGAACACTGAAAGTAGGGACGCCTATGGGCTTATGATACCACATAGAAATTAATCATATAACATAATCTCAAAAATCAAATATATTTTGCGAAACGAAAATACGCTGTGGTGCTTTCCAAAAAATCTAGACACATCGCCATAAATTCCGTTCAACTCGCTTGCCATTGAACTATATTAATAAAAACTCACCGTTATACGTTGTTTAAACACCAAAGGTACATTCGTGCAGTGACCTTACAAAAAGCAGTAATCGTTACCTGGCGCCTTGTGTGATGTAACGCCTGTGGTGTGCGGTTGACAGATCAGGTTGTGAATGATCGCAACAGTACCAAAGTTATATCTTCAGAGGATATGAAGTTGGTGAGAGGATTGCTTTGAAAAAGAAGTTTACGGCTATTTACTTAAAATATCCTCACAATGAGTAGGGCTACATATGTAGACAGAAACGTACAGCGCAGCGTCATGATATAAACGGTAAGCATATTTATAAGAAATCGTAATGATGGAAAAATTCTCCTTTTTAGTTCGTAGGCGTTAGTGCACCTAGTAGATAACTTCGCGTACAAAAGTGACTGTACACAAAATCAACCAAGTAAACTTTTCATATTATTTAACCATTTCAGTTATCAGCGGAAGCAAAGGTCTGTTAAACTTTGTTCATCTTAACCTATCTGTCCTTAAAAGGCAAATTGCAGGGTTTTAGAAAAGGAGGCTTCTTTGATCTTTGCGACGAGGTAAACAAATGTTGGCTGACCCAGCGAGATTCATAAATGCAAAGAAAATTCTGTCCGATAAAAGCGCCTGACTAACTACATCACAGTAAAAGACAAAATGGGTGCACATTCAAACGAAGAACTGATTTCGGACAGAGGTTTATGCCTTAAGTTCTCAGCGAAGTTAGCGGCAACTTCCCATGAAGGCTATGAACCTCCGGACGGAAATACAAGGTTATTGCTCATAAGTCGACTGGGGATGTTCAAGAACCGGAACCGATTATTTATTCGATTAAGCTCTGGTTCCTTGGAAACATACTGAGATGGAAAGACCTAAATGATTGCAATGCGCTACTTCAAAATAGGATGCAAATAACGTTTACCCAGACAATTCCGCTGTTTCAATTTTTGCAATCCCATGGTGTGAGTAAAGTATATCCATCTCCCTTATGTTATTCGCAATTTCCTTATGACTGCTTATGTTCACTAAGTAATTGTGTCAGCGAAATCAGAAAATTGCACAGTTGCAATCACGATGCGTCTTCACTGTAAACTGCTTAATGGTGCAACTGTTTAATTTCGCTTTACAGCCTCGTTCGATATTTCGATGCTTCGATGATGGCGAAGTGATAGTAATGAGCGACACATAATACACTCCATCGAACGCGCTACAGACTCAGTTACTCACTATGGTAATCTGCGTGTATGACGCATTGACTTGTGCCGTACACCCTGCACAGCTTACACCTAAGACGACAGTCCGACCATCGATTTCGATTATGTACACCGTGTGTCCCACAGCTGCAGCAGCGGTGGGAGCAGGGACGATGACTTACGCAGGGGTTTATAGTGCCAGTAGACTTGCGCTGCATCTACCGACACTCTCTCCTTCTCCCCCGCCTCAGCCCGGTGTCAAGACAGAGTCAAGAAGACCGGAGACGAGAGAGGCCGCAGGTGGATGGCTCGGACGGATCCTCACCTTGGCGTTCCACCACACCCCCTGGTCCACACAACAAATAACCAGGATTTTGACAAACACAACAGAGATTTGGAGGCTGACACGGCCGAAGCCGCAACTAGGCGTGCCGCCGACGCCTGGCTCGGATCCCACACTGTGGTGGGAGTGCCATAAGGCCACATTAAAAAGGAGCCATTGCAGCCTGACTCTCGGACCGCCTCCAGTCAAGGAGGAGGTCGAAGTTACCCCGTCAGTTGGCAACCTTCCAAGCCACGGCTTTTAGCGCACCGTGATAGCTTCAAGCGCGTCAGATTGTTTATAGTGAGGAGAAAATGCGCTGAGTCGTCGACCTCACTCTCACTTCTCATCCCCACACCCCAGCCGCTGTCCGAGCCGGTCAGAAGACTGGAGTGGGAAATGGGCGCGGTGGCTGTTTTGGTCGACTGACCATGACTGCGCGCGCCACGGCACGGCCTGGCCCCTCATACACACAACACCAGGATTTCACACAACGGGGCTTGAACGGTGTGTCTGTCACTTGCGTGAGAGTGCCGTGGAAGGTGCTGTTTCGGCCCGCCGCACAGCCCACCAGTCCGCCACTCTACACAACATACACACAACGCAACAAACTGCGTGAACCGAGTGCGGACGTCAATCAGCAACCTTCCTATCCACGACTCTTGACGTTTCGGGATAGTCTCAGACTCAAGTCACCCGTGCAGCCGAAGCCGCATGGGGACCGAATCGAGATGCGCACTTCCCACTTGCGTGGTAGGTGGCAGGTGGGTGCATGCTGTGGGTGCGTGTTGATGTGCGGGGGGGTGATGGTGGTGGTGGTGGTGAATGAAGGTAGGGAGTGAGTGAATGTGCGGTGTAGCCGGCGGTTGTCTACCGCAGGTCGTCCTGGATGCGCATGTGGCCGAATAGGCCCATGCGATGCGTGAAGGCGCGAGAGCAGCGTGGGCAGTGGGTGTAGGTTGGTACTCCAGGCACTGGTTCGCCAGTCTCCGTGCGATGGATTCGCAAGTGACCGACCAGGCCGATGCGTGAGGTGAAGGTGCGATCGCAGTGAGGACCGGTGTAGTCCTGATCCTCATCGCTGGAGTCGGAGGAGGTGGGGATGTTGTCGGTTGTTGTGTCGGGGTTGGTGATGTGCGAGACGGCCGTCTGAGCGGCCGTAGCGGGTGGAGTGGTGGAGGACGAGAAGGAGTTGGTGGAGGAGGAGGAGGAGGAGGGGGAGGAGGAGGATGGAAGTGGTGTTTCGGAAGAATTGTCAGAGTTAGTTGGTGGCGGAGAGGAGGAGGAAGAGGCGGGCAGTTGATGCAGTCCGAGATGTGCAGTTGATCCGAAGATGTCCAACAAATCCGATTCGAGCCCAGAATGTCCGTTGACATCGAGGACACTTTGGAAGCTGTTGTGCGGCGGCGTTGAGTACTGGGCAAGGTTAGGGTTTGCGGGCTTCGCGTTTCACTTTGGCGGCAGCGATGCGGTTGGCTTCGTAGATCGTAGCGCCTGTCTTCACTGTCCTCCTCCAGGTCGGTCGATCGAGTGCAAGCTCTTCCCAGTTGGACGGGTTGATTTCCAGACGCTTCAGGGAGGACTTCAGGGTATCCTTGTATCGACGAATTTGGCCTCCTTGACGGCGAGAACCCGTCGTGACGTCTCCGTAGAAGAGTCATTTGGGTAGTCGCAAGTCGTCCATGCGCACCAGGTCGCCGCTCCAGCGCAGCTGAATTTGTCTCAGTATGGTGTAGATGCCAAGGATTCCCGTTCGTTCCAGCACATCAGTGTCGGGGATTCGGTCCTGCCAGTTCAGCCTCAGGATGCGACGAAGGCAGCTGAGGTGGAAGTGGTTCAGACGACGTGCCTGCTTTGTGTACACCGTCCAAGTCTCCGCTCCGTGCAGTAGCGTCGGCAGGATGACGGCCTTTTACATCTTCAGCTTCGTGCTCAGTTAAGGACCGTGACCGGCTCCAAACTGTGCTTTGGAGGCGACCGAAGGCTTGACTGGCTTTCGAGATCCTGTTGGCGACTTCGTCATCGATCTTGGTGTTGCGGGAGAGAGTACTGCCCAGGTACGGGAAGTTCTCCACCACTTGCAGTTGGGTTCCTTTCACGCTGATTTGCGGCGGCGCGTTATGGGGTGTGGCTGAGTTGGGTGGCGGTTGATGCATGACCACCGTCTTCTGCGTGTTGATGACCAGCCCAAAGTTCTCGCAGGCGGCGGGGAAAAGGTCCATGCTGCGTTGCATCTCCTCTACCGAGCTGGTGTTCAGGGCGCAGTCGTCGGCGAAGAGGAGTTCGTGAACGGTGGTTGTGGATACGCGCGATTGGAAGTGCATCCGCCGTCGATTCAGCAGGTGACCGTCCGTCCTGTAGGCGATACGGATCGGGAGACGTTCGTTGCGATAGGCGTCAAACAACATGGCAGAGAACATAAGACTGAAGAGGGTAGGCGCCAGCACGCATCCATGCTTCACTCCATTGGTCACTGCGAATGCCTCTGAGACAGCTCCGTTGTCCGTGACTCGCGCCATCATGCCGTCGTGCAACTGACGCACCATCTGAATGAATCGCTCCGGACAGCCGAATTTCTGCATGATTTTCCGCGGTCCTTCACGATTCACTGTGTCGAAGGATTTCGCCAGGTCCACGATGATAGAGTACAGGTGGGTCCGCATCTCCTGGCACTTCTCCTGAAGTTGACGGGCGGCGAAGATCATATCCGTGGTCCCACGATGACAACGGAAGCCGCATTGGATTTCCGGCAGAAGGCCCTGTTCCAGATGGTTATTGAGGCGGTTGAGGAGGATGCGTGCGAAGATCTTCCCAGCGATGTTCGGCAAGGAGATGCCACGGTGATTGTCGCAGACTTGGCGGTTCCCTTTTCGCTTGTATAGGTGAGCGATGGTTGCGCCTTTGAAACCTTGAGGGACTTCGCCTTGACGCCACATCTCCTGGAAGGGCGCAGCCAGGTGATCCATCAGTTGGGGACCTCCGTACTTGTAGACCTCAGCAGGGATTGCGTCCGATCCGGGTGCTTTCCCGGTGCGATCAAAAGCTTGAATACCGGGTCGGATTTCTTAGGAGTACTTCGTTGAGAAGATATTGAGCCTATAACATCTGAACAAACAGCGCCTAGAAGTGTTAACAATTTGGAACTGTACGTTGTGTGTTAAATGCATGCCTGTTGCCAGATTCAAATGTCCTCCAAAACTCCGTATTTTCCATCATCGTCTTACATTCCGGAGAAAAGCTAAACATATGTTTAAATTTGGAGAGCATTTGAAAAGACTAGCATTCAACAAGTGCCCAAATGTGGTTTTACGTTTTATTATTTCCTATCAGACGGGACAAGGCACGCCACTGGACGAAAATTTCTCAGCCTCACGCATTACAAGTCACCTAAACATTTTACAAGAGACTGCAGCATTGGAAATGGAATGGGTGTGTACGTTACCGTAAAAATGAGTTGTGCAAGCCTTGGGCGTACACCTTACTTTCCACACTCTCCGAATAGTTGATTGACGTGCTCAAATTGCCAACAAGACCTGTGTGCATTATCACCGATACTTCCAGGTGAAATGGACTCTGCTTTTTTAAAGTGCCACGAGTTCGATAACTGGATCGATGAAGACTGTGGAAGTTGGAGGTGCGACGCTGCAGAGGGCAGTTTTTGATGCTGCATAGCGCGCGTTTCCCCTGCGGCAGGAATTCGAGTGCAATTATTTCGTTTTGTCCTGGTAATACAGTTTCACCACTAGGCCATATATCGGCAAATTTAATTGACGGTTTTGATTTCTGTTTTGGTATACGGACGTCCATATATCGAATTTCCTCGCGGCTAGCCTTTTTAAAAACGCAGTTTGTTTTGACTCTGAAGTAAGCCGTTTTAAAAAAACTTTCCCTCCTTCACTGGGCGGTAACGGCTGAAATAAGGAATCCGTAGAGAATTCATTAATTTTTTCGAACACGGTTGGCAGCATATTGCAGCCCCTACTCATTGTTACACAACCTTTAGAAAAGGCATTCATAGGATCGCTTACTTTCAGTTGGAAAATGGATATGGAGGAAGCCACGGTGGACATGAACGTTATGTTGTAAGCGCACTTGTATCAGTAATGAGAGATATGCCGTCAACCGAGGGGAAAGGAGATGTTGGCTGGTAACGTTCGAGAACCGATAGTTCTATTGTTCAATCCAGTTTGCCTAACCGCCATGGAATCGAGAGCTTCTGTTGATCCACCCGTGAGTTAAACAAACATTCTCACTGAAGAAATGTAAAAGGTTCCACCAACTCGTCAGCATTAAGTGCGCTGTCCGCCTTTTATGTCAGATATTGAGTAGATCTCTCAATTGGGTTCTGCGACGATGTCGACAAGAAGACGGACATTACGCAGTGTGACTTCACGTGTTCATTCAGAAGTACTGCTTGTTACCGTAAAAGGTAAAATACTCATTTAATAACTGCAATCCGTAGGGAAACAAAAAACGCTCTAACAAGCATACTACAGATTAAGCGGCATTTATAATTCAAGACTACAAGGTGTCGATGTGAGCTATGGACTTTCATGGAAATCTAACTGTCTATTTTCTCGCAACCAATTTCTAACCTGCCATTCTGCCTTTAATATAATTGTTTTACTGTTCTATCCTCTTTAGGCTCAATAGACACTTCTATGTACTTTTAATTAGCTGATTGTACTGCCGGATATAAAATTGTTTTAATTAGTAAAAATCACCGGCGACCAGGCATTTGTGTTCACATCAAAAAGCCTACATCAAAGTTCATTTGACAGTAACACAGGGACGCCAAATAAGCACACGGTGATACCCGCGCCCAGTGACCTTGCCAGAAAAGCCCATGTGGGAACTAAACCCATTCATATATGCTCTAATTCCTGAAAGACAGCGATAAACTAGTCAGACTGCTGACGTTTAAAATTGCTGCTTCCAAAAATATAGCGTCTATTTAATTATATGTAGCACGCGATCAATAACAATTTCATAAATTCCTTTTGGTCATCGTGTGTCAAGATAAGAGTAGTCAGCACCTACCTAACGATAATTTCACTTTCTTATTTATGACAGCACTAGTTGATTAGGACCCGAGTAAAGCGACAGCTTAGACTTTGAATTCCACCTTCATTGTCAAATCCCGTTAACCCCTCAACTTGATTCTAAACCTCTTCGGAAAATATTATGCCTATTCTGATGGCAAGCTTTTACCCAGTACACGGTCCACCGATATTATTTGTATTGGCCTTGTGCCGCACACTATCTCCGCCCATGTTAAATCCCGCGTTTACGGTAATGCACAAAGTTTTAAAGCGGGTAAATTCCGTTTTTCATCTTGTGGGCGATTCTATGCACATAGATCGTTGTTTATGCAGGTGCTGATTTATATTGGCTGTCTGCTTCTACTCAATCGCGCAATGAATGATTCAGACGTAGCAGGCTAGACATGAAGTCGACTTTTTAAGGGCATTGTTCGGCACAGGTTCACGCACCGCTGAAGACGCCGAGCGTGAGCTGTATCGGCGCTGCAGGTGCAGAAACCGTAGGGCTTGGTGGTCTGCTGGGAATGTTTTTGCAAAATTGGAACTTTACAGTGGGGATCGAAGTAGCGTCTCTGGTGCCTGCAAGAAGCCGGCGAGCCCGCTATTGTTCCGTCTATGATGCACACTCATTTTGTTTTGGAGAAAAAACACAGTTTACAGATTCTGTGCCAGAATGGTGACCTCGGGTAGACCTCAACGAACATGATTTTTCTAAAAACGAATGCTCAAAAGCATGATTTTGTATTTCAGGTAGCCAAGAAGAATTTTCCTTACTAATCAATATTCAAGGAAACGATTTGCACATATATATGGGTCTGCCGGATGTTCTTGTGATACTGGCTTTTAACGTTTTATGAGGAATACCTCATGCAGTTCCTTATCCCGAACCACCAGAATCCTATTTTCTGTCGCTGGAACCATAAGTGTTACTTTGCTTGACAGAATGTGTATTGTCGTTTAATCTGTCACCTGGAGTAGGGGGCAGGCTGCGTATGGCAGGCGTAGACTGGTCGTTTAGATTTGTTTACCACTGCTTTCGGCCTAAATGCAATTGACCTGCACTGTCTTGCCGGGAAATTATAAAACACTCCATGGCATGCTGTCCTGCCTACTAATCTGCCTCTATAATTGTTGAGGCGTGTTCCAGCAAAATTTCTGATTTAGCCCCCTTTTAATATTCTGCAGCATTATTACTAAGTAATTGAAGGCGAGATCGTAGCCCAACTAACATTAGTTGCTTATCGCCTACAACGATATATTGTGTAAGTGTCTCCTCGACTGCAGAAAATGGTGTCATATCAAAATCTAGTAAATCTTGCTCGTAACGAGGAGGAACAATAGTTCCGCTAATACCGCTTATGAAACAGCAAGTTAATGCAAACTCCCAAAGTGGTGGAATACTCTGGCAAAATTCAATCTAGCCGAGAACATTTTCAGGGAATTTGCACATCCTATTTGTCCATCAAGCGCATTTTGTGGCGATTAACGACGCTTAACCATGGTTACTTTTACGTCGGAAGCCCTAAGTTTTACAAAGTTACTTGTCCTCCAGATGGTACGCCCTAATTAAGTTATAGGGATGAACATTGGTTGCTGAGTGTACTCTAGCATATCATGATATACGAATTCAAATTGTATGGACGAATATAAATAACAAACAGATTGTCTATATTCCTATAGTCAGTTTGTTGATTATAACAGCTGTAGAATTCTTAGTGGACCAAATCACGCGCATAAGCCGCCACAGGTTTTGGTGTATATACTGTACTATTTATAGAATAAGGCAACAAAAAAACATACAAGCCTCAACAATGGATACCCTAGACTAAGTATTTTTTGTCACTGTTCGAGCAAATCGAATTCCCAATTCAAGGTCAGAATAAAAAAACCAGTCAATTAAAAGAACGCCAATCACATTCAAAAGAGTGTTACAAAGGGGGAAAGCGGAATGTCAACAGGGGGCAAATGTGGAAGCACTTGCGAATAGGGTGTGGAGAATTCCAAACGTTGATCAACTTGATACATCACCGACCGCCAGTTTTCCCTGTCCGGCTCTTGCGACCAACCTACGGGTTTGAAGGTATAAGGCCGCTCGGATTCTCAAGTAGACAAATATTTCTAACGTTCCTTATTGAAGAGACTGTCCGCCGTTATAATATATACCGTCCTAACGAGGCCATCGCGACTCTTTTCGCATGCGTCTATTAAACTCAAAGGCCGATTCTCACAAGATGCATGCTCCCCAGGAACTAAACCAGCATCAGCTGGTTTCAGTTTCGCAGATCCTCTTAACCTTTTTGCTCTTTTTCGCAGACTTGGGAGATATTCTTTTACCCTTCGTCTCCAGAACACGCCAGCGAGTTAGTGTGCTTGTTTCCATCCAACGTGGTAACGAGCCACCGATTTGTCACTGCAAGGCAGCACTGGGCAGTTCCTCGTCGACAATAAGCTATTCGGGGTAAGTGGTTCCTAGTCGTTGCTGTCTGATGTAAGCGGGACAAGCATTCTATTATTTAGTGTATGTTCAGCCTGCACGAAGAACGTACCGAGCTACTCGTCAGTTAGAGACTGTTCCTTACAGAGAGCAAGAAGAATGCGTCGTAAACACCTGATCATGCGTTTCCTTTTTTTTTTCTGGTAATCTGTTGGTGTAGACTGCAGAACACTCAATCCTTATGAAAAGTGTTTCCTTTGTATAAGCCTTATTAGGCTAGTGCTAGCTTGGTGCATTTCGGATACTCGGATAGGACCCATCATCAACGTCTCCTGAGTTGCCTTGCCAGCGGTGACTCTACAGTACTGCTTGAAACGCAGGAGCCAGACCACAGCCCTTCGTAACTTCGTCCAACTTGTAAAACGTATAAAGAATTTGCCTAAACCATGACATTGAATTAACACGTGAACTTAAGCTGGAGGTTGTACAA